CCCCCCCCCCCCCCCCTCCAATTCATTTATTTCCCTCTAAAAATCATTTATTTTGTTTCAAAACTTTTAATGATTTATTAAAATAAAAACATCGTGGTGTAATTCTTAAACTTAAACATACCTACGGCTGTAAAACAACTATAATTTTATTAACAAATCTAATGATTACTTGTGTAGGAGTGCCACTGACCACTATGCCCGGGCACACTGGATACCTAACATTTGCCACACTACCACCAGTATTATAAACAATACATTCTTTTTATTTTTTTAAATAAATTATTTTCACGAAAAAACACTTTTTGATTTTAGAGATTTATGCTTAATATCTCAGCTATAATATAGAAATAATTTTGAAAACATCATACAGGACTAGTACTGAGATGGAATAGGCCAGGCGACTGCTAGTGTGCTGTGGGTAGATGGCTTCGGTCACTGGCCTAGACTCTTAACATAAATAATTTACATTAGACTTGTGTCAATAATCAACTTTTATAATTTCCGTCCTTTGGCGGTTATTTTTGAAGGGGACTCGGCCTTAATTTTCACGGAATGATGGTTGATGTTTTATTTACTATTTATTAATATGTGTTTTTTTTCACAATTACTGATCAGCTTAAGAATTTAAAATGTCTGTCCTTAATCTAGCCTAAATCAATTAAAACTTTTTTCTGAAGAGCACAATTGACTTTATTGCAAATAAATAGGAATCAAATCTACAATAATTTTATAAAACAATAAATAAATCTTAAAATACAAACTGGAAGCCAGGAGAGTCGTTATTGAGTTGCGCGGCATTCAGCTGATGCAAATTGGGGTTAATCCGACTCAAACTTGTTTGCGGCATCTGTTCACTGTCGTCTTCACTGAATAAAAACCAATTAAAAATCACGAACTGACAAAATGAATATGTTCTTCATGACAAATTAAGACCGGTGCAATTGATTACATATATTAAAAGTATATTGCAATTGCCATTTAGACCCGGCAAAAAAGTTCATGCAAAATTTTAACTGATCTGAATGCAAGGTTGTTAATTGATTGTTAAAACGTTGCTGGTGTTGCTCACTTGTCAGCTGAAAAAAGCGGAGAAAATCCTTCCCGCCTCTCACCAGCAACGTCACTTCACCTTCCGCAAATAATTAGTACGTAATGTGAGGATTTTAAATGACCATCGTTAAGAAGACGACATTTCTAGTACATTGGAGTGCATCAAGAGTATCAAAGAGTGCATCCAGAGAGGTTCACTAAATGACTAACCTTAGATTTTCTAGTTGGGTTTTCTGAAGTTGCATATTCTGTTTTCTCCATTTTATCCGTCTGTTCTGGAACCAAACTTTAACCTGTAATAATCAAGAGAAAAATAATGAAGCCTGTTTTAATTTTTTGCACACAAACTTTCTGCAAAATTGTTAAGATTGTTTTAATTAGTTTAACATTAGATTTTTCTTCGTGAATAAATTAGACAAATTCTGAGTTAAAAATAATATTAAAACCCATTTACAATTTTCTTTAACATGTTAAAAAATTGAACTAATTTAATCGTTTAAAATATTTTGTTATGATAATTTAAAAACCGTCATTACCAACTCGTTTTTTAGTATCATCGATTCGCTTTCCCGTCCACAGTATTTTCCATGTCTTCGTTTTATAATATTTTTAAAAAATTGCACTTACCCCCCCCCCCTTTCTTACCTGTGCCTCTGTAAGGTTAAGCCTAGATGCAAGATACAATCTCTCTGGTCCAACCATATACTGCTGTCTAGATATAAATAGTCATGTTAATTAAGTTGGTTCGTTGTTTTGCTTTTCTTTTAGGGTCAAAATTTAGCTTAGTGTAAGAAAAACAAATATTTTTTATTCAATTTTAATGGAATTTATCACACCTAATATTTCCCGTTGTAGGGTGATTAAGTGACATTATCGCCCTACTGCATGGCGAAAAAGTAACTTTTTCACCCAGCTATTAAAATTTCAAATTTCATTCCTAATTTGTCTCATTGTAGGGTGATAAAGTTACTTAATCACCCTACAACAGGGTGATTAAGTAACTTTATCGACCTGCTTTTAAATAATTTGAGTAAAATTGAGTTTAACTATATGTTATTGAAATGGGTATCATGCGTGCGAAAAAGTTTTTGCTGTGATTTTTAATTTTCTAGTTTGTTCTCGATCAAAATAAAAATCCCGGAAAAAACTGTTTCGCACTTATTACCCATTACATTGACATAAATAGATATACAATGGTTTGCTCTGACCATTTCTTTATTCCCCACTATGCAATAATTTGACCCTGACCGCAAAAAAAATGCTGAACACAAACCGTTCGTCTTATTTTATTCGTCAACAAATTTATTTCGTTTATTTTCTCAATTAAATATCATACAGGAAAACCGTCCTTTTAGTAGAAAACGATATTCTTTTAAGTTTGTAAGAAAAATGGTTTTTCCAGTAAAAAAAACTTGGTTTTCTCAAATTCTTTCGGAAAATTTGTTTGTTCAGGAAAAACAGTAGTTTTTTTAATTCGGTCGTTCAAACCGTTGGTTTTTAAGAAACAATAATCTTTTATTTCTCTGAACTATCCAAGTCCTTCACGTATCGTTCGTCTGTTCTGAACAACACTATCGAAAATTTCGTTCGTTTATAAAAACAGTGCCTATCTCTAACAATAAGAGGAGTTCTGACTGATTGTAATTTTTCATTAATGGGTTTAGTTTTCTAGTTTGGCGCGAAAATACCTGTGAAATTCCTCCTCCATCCTTTCTAATTGCTCCGGGGTAAATATTGTTCTTATTCTTTTAGATTTTAATCTTCGCCCTCGTCCGCACTCAACCATATCTAATAATATAAACAATAAACAATTCGCATATAAAGAGAAACCCTTAATAACGAATACATCGAAAGAATTAATCAAATGTCGTATTCTTCACTTTCTGATGATGGAATGTTGCAGATATTTAGTTTTTTATTAAATGATTATATGGAACTCTTTAAAACTGTTCCCGCATATTCATGGCTATTTATTTATGTTCGCAAATACTGAAAATTACGTAATATATAGTTTAAAACTCATTGACAAATTGTCAAGACGACATTTGATAAATTCTTCCGATGTATTCGTTATTAAGGGTTTCACTGTATACAGAGAAACTCTACCCGGAATAATGTAAATTGATTGATGACTTTAAAGTCGTCTTTGACCTTGGAAATTGTTAATTCAAGAGGTGACTTGATTTTTAACAATATTTTTCCAAGAAACAATAATCACTGAATATTGAATAATCCTGATCCTGCAATCTCCAAAATGTGGTCTGCCATTGTTTGCACCAATATTAAAAATTGTATTTAATTTTTTTTTATTTACTAAAACGAAATCATTCACAAAATTGTGATTATTGTTTCATAAAACTTCTAAAATACAAACTCCTGGAATACAAAATACAGACTTAAGAAATATAAACTCCTAAAATACAAACTCCTGAAATACAACATCTGAAATACAAACTCCTGAAATACAAACTCCTGAAATACAAACTTCTAGAATACAAACTCCTAAAATACAATCCTAAAATACAAACTCCTGAAATACAAACTCCTGGAATACAAACTCCTAAAATACAAACTCCTGAAATACAAACTCCTAAAATAGAAACTCAAGAAATACAAACTCTTAAAATACAAAGCCATGAAATACAAAATCATAAAATACAAAGCCATGAAATTCAAACATATGAAATACGAACTCCGAAAATGTAAACTCATTGAAAAAAAATCCTTGAAAAAAAACTCTTAATTATAAATCAAAAAAAAAGATAATCTCAAATATTTCATTAATTATCCATTATAAATATTATAGATTATTTAATTAATTAGAGAAATAAAACTTAATTGATGGATCACACTCTCCAGCTCGTTTAATTCATTAAATTCATCACATTCCCACATATGATTGTTCACAGCAGGGTGCCATCAACATTTATACTAATTCAAAGTCTGATTTCCGGACACAAATTTTATCTTGAAGATAGTCTGATTTTTAGACACATTTTATCATGGAGATGTCTGATTTTTATACACAAACTTTTTCTTGAAATTTTCAGACATAACTTTTTTTCTTGAAGATAGTCTGATTTTCAGACACAATTTATATCTTGAGAAAGTTTGATTTTCGGACATTATAATATCATCTTGAAGTTAGTCTGATATAAAAAGAATGAATCTTATCTTTTATTATTTTGTAAATCCCCTCTAAATGTGCTGTACAGGGACATGTACAATTCCCTTTAAATGTGCTGTACAGGGACATGTACAATTCCCTTTAAATGTGCTGTACAGGGACATGTTCAATTCCCTTTAAATGTGCTGTACAGGGACATGTACAATTCCCTTTAAATATGTTGTACAGGGACATGTTCAATTCCCTTTAAATGTGCTGTACAGGGACATGTACAATTCCCTTTAAATGTGCTGTACAGGGACATGCAGCAACAATGTAGATATCGTCGGTTTTTTATCTTGAAAAGTTTTGAATTCTGACGATTTCCATAAATCCGCAAGTCACTTTAAAGGGAGTGTTCGCGAAACATGAAAGGAGGTGTGACGTCGAACTGAATTAGATGTCGATCGCTACTAATTTTACTTCTATCTCTTGCGTCATAAAAAGAAAATGGTTAAACATGACTCATACCGCAGATAAAAGTAAAATTAATAGCGATTAAAATACCCCTTTCATTTATCGCGAACACTCCCTTTAAGGAAAAAAATAATCAACTTTAATATAATGATAACTAAATCAGTTTAGCTCAGTTAAAAGTATTGATCAGTCCATTTTTAAATAGAGGGTTCCTCTAAATAACGTCTAAAGTCCCTTTAAATGGAGGGTTCCTTTAAATAACGTCCACAGTCCCTTTAAATAACGTCCACAGTCCCTTTCAATAACGTCTACAGTTCCTTTAAATAACGTCCACAGTCCCTTTAAATAACGTCTACAGCCCTTTTAAATAACTTCCACAGTTCCTTTAAAAATGTATTTCCATCTGTATGGACCTTGTCAGCTGAACACAAAACATTTTGTTAATAATATATATGTAAATTATGAATTCTGATAGGTGGTAAAGAAGTTTTTGCTAAAAACTCCCTATCTTTGCAACCAGATGTTATAGACCTTTGATATTTCAAACCATGAATTCCGTTAGATCAAATGGTTTAAATTTAAAATATCAAAGGTTGCAAAGATACCGATATTATAAATTTGAGTTTGTGGCAAAAACTTATTGTTCCTTTCCCGACTTTATTCATTATTTCAAACAAAATAATCGTAAGCTCAAAATAATTTCAATGTTAGATATTTTGAACAAATGGATTTCATTATAATCCCCCGGCCCTGCTTGCAAAAATTAGATTGGAATCTTTAATATCTTCAATATCTGGCATTCCAATCTTATTCTGTCAGATCAATACACATACACAAGGGGAGGAAGGCATGCCACAATTTTATAACGGCCGAGCCACATTATCCTCATTTTCTCGTCCGAGCCACCTCGAAATCCTCGTCTTTCCAATATTGTATTAAAATATACAAAATTTTCCCAACAATTTTAGATTTGTGAAAATAGTGTTCTACAATTAAGCATCTCTATCAGTGAGAAGGACAAGAATTTCTAGGTGGCTCGGACGAGAAATTGAGGAGAACATGAGCAATTTTTGAGGTTGGCCTTCCTCCCCTCCACACACACACACGGACAAATTCATATAATGGAATAAAAGCCAACTTTTAAGAATGCGAAACTTTGTGATCTAAAAATTTTCAAAAAAATGTTTTAAAAGAAAACCCCTCTTCTTGCTTAAAAACGAATCAAAAACAATTTTATAAAAACTTTTAGATATACTTTTGGGTGATTCATTTTCATAAATTTAAATTATTGATTAAAAAAATAAAAAAAAATTGTTGTGGTCATACCCCTCCAGAAATTTTAAAACTAAATAATTCTAGTATTTTACAGTATATTTACAGTATATTTACAGTATATTTACAGTATATTTACAGTATATTTACAGTATATTTATAGTATATTTACAGTATATTTACAGATTACCATAATCTATAAATTCATAGACTCTTTATCAAAGTATTCAGTAAGATTTAAACCACTCCTCTATGAATTTTAAGCTACTTTAAAAAGAAATTTGTAAAAAAAAAACTATTTTTTTCTGTTTTTATCATAGTTGTGATAACTATAATAACTATTTCTAATACTAAAATTATTTTTGTTCTCAGTGTTAAGCTCGGGACAAACAAAATCTAAAAAGACTTGAAAAATGCTTGATCTCCTCTTTTTCTTGATCTCCAGATTAAATAAGGCTTGTTCTCCTCTTGTTATTAATCTCCAGATTAATTAACCGATCGGGATTAAGGATATCCCATTTAAAAGTTCCTGGCTCAGGACGAACACATTGGAAGAAAAAACTTTCATTGCTTTTTTATTTAACAGAAAAAAATTCCCAAATATATAAAATTAAACCGTTAATTGTTTTTGATCCACCCTGTTGAGAACAGAACAGCACAAAACCATCTTCTTAGCATAATATATATCTTGTAAACCTGAATACATGAATACAGGGGGTGCCGCCAAACCAATCTAAACTGGCGGCATCAATGAATTCTATTTGCCTGGCTTAAACTAGAAAGTTAAATTCATCTGGTTTCTGAAAGGGAGGAGACGATAAGAACAAACATATATTTGCCTTAATAGCTCGATTGATAGCTAAGGATGTTTTAAGAAGGAAAGCTAATGATATTGTAAACTAGGATAGCTTTTATAGCTAGACTGTTAGAGATGTAAAGAAGGATAGCTAGAAATCTATATCTAGCTAAAGATATTTAGAATGATAGATAAATAGCTAGATAGCTAATGATATGTAGAAGGATAGCTAGATTGGTATAGATATATTTATGATACAGGGTGGTGTCCCACTAGATATATTTATGATAAAGAGTGGTGTCCCACCAAATATATTTATGATAAAGGGTGGTGTTAAACTAGATATACTTATGATACAGGGTGGTGTCCCACCAAATAAAGGTGTTGAGTCATTTCATAGAAAGATATTACATAGATAAGCCACTTCATAGACAGGAAATTTCATACATAGGACATTTTATAGGTAGGACATTTCTTAGATAACATTTTATAGAAGACATTTCATAGACAGGACATTTCATAGATAGGACATTACATAGATAGGACATTTCATAGATAGGACATTTCATAGATAGGACATTTCATACATAGGACATTTTATAGGTAGGACATTTCTTAGATAACATTTTATAGAAGACATTTCATAGACAGGACATTTCATAGATAGGACATTACATAGATAGGACATTTCATAGATAGGACATTTCATAGATAGGACATTTCATAGATAACATTTCATAGAAGAAGATTTTCATCGATAGGACATTTTATGGATAAGATATTTTATAAATAGGACATTCCATAGACAGGACATTTCATAGTCAGACAATTTCATAAATAGGACATTCCATAGACAGGACATTTCATAGACAGACAATTTCATAAATAGGACTTTCCATAGACAGGACATTTCATAGACAGACAATTTCATAAATAGGACATTCCATAGACAGGACATCTATCTATCTATCAAATGTCTCTCTTTGAAATGTCTTTCTATGAAATGACCCAACACCCAAATATATATATGATACGGGTTGGTGTCCCACTAAATATACAATCCTTTTGATTATGCAATGGGTAATCATGAAACAACGGAAATCTCACCATTGATTTTTGTTACATCATGGGTAACCTTATAATGAAAATTAATTATAATATTTTTTATTTACTAACCTACTAACCTCAAGCAATAATTGATTATAAGCAACATGTTTTTTTCTGTCATAATTGTAAAATTTTTTCATCTTTAGTATAGTTATTCATGTACAACCACCTTCGGTACTTGTTGTATGATACAGGTTGGTGTCCCACTAAATATATTTCTGATACTGTCCCACTAAGTACATTATGACGGTGTCCCGGAAAGTATATCTATATCTCTACATATCTAACATATTCAAAGTACAGTAGAACTTAAATTTCCTCACTCAGTGTTAACCATATCTAACATATTTTTATAGAATAGTCCTCATTTATATTTTTAACCATATTCATTTAGCGGAGATACCAGCGGAGCTTAATTTTCTAATTCTTTGTAAAAAAAAATGAATTACCAAAATGGTTGATATTTCTGAAGATCGGTTTGGTTTTGTTGATGTTACTAAAGATTGGTTTGGTTTGGTTGACTTCTCTGAAGTTTGGGTTGGTTTGGTTGATATCTCTGAAGTTTGGGTTGGTTTGGTTGATATCTCGGAACAAGTTGTGTTGTGATATATGACTGGAATGGAAGATGTCCGGAAGTTCACGACCAATACTCATACTATTGTTCTAAATATAATCTTTATAAAAGCATTTATCCATGAGAGAGTATGCATTCTCACCAGTGCTACGCAGAGTAGCACCTAACCCTCTCAGATCCGGATTGAGAAGGTCTAAGCTATTCAGCATTGCACTGGTTAGTATGCATATTTAAAACTATGCAGATTGAACAGATGTACTGTTCTGGGATCGAATTTTATGAATTTGAGCCAGATCGCTGAAGTACCAACAGTTGATTCAAATACTTATCTTTAGTTGTCATTTCTAGGACAGGGATAAATTTAGAATAACTGATTCAAGATATGTGGTTGAACCGTCTCTAGATTTGGCTCAAATTTATTAATTAATTTTCCTTCTTTATAGTCTGTATGTAATGACTAGTACAGTACAAACAGGTTTAGTTGCTAGCAGTCGGCCGACCTGGTACTTAATGCAGTTTACAGTATAAACTTTCTATAATCGATTTTTCCGATTTGAACCGATAAAAAAACTTAAGTTGTATTTGTTTAAAAAAGAAACATTTTCGTAAACAATTAAGAACTTATATAATTTTTAATAAAGCTTTACAAAAAATTATAACATTTTAATATAATTTTACAGACTTGAAAATAAATCATTTGCAAATTTGCCAGAAAGCCTAGGGGATAAATCAATTTTAACCAGAACAAACAAACTTTACATACTGTACAAAACCAGATTCTAAAAATTTTAACACTAGTTTCTCATTTCAATACCAGATCCATTAGTTTAAGACCAGATTCTTTACAGTTTACAGCTCAATACTAGATCCTTTACAGTATACAGTTCAATACCAGATCCATTAGTTTAAGACCAGATCCTTTACAGTTTGCAGTTCAATAATAGATCCTTTACAGTATAAAGTTCAATACCATATTCTTTAGAGTTTAACACCAGATCCTTTACAGTTTACAGTTCAATACTAGATCCTTCACAGTATAGAGTTCAATACCATATTCTTTAGAGTTTAACACCAGGTTCTTTACAGTTTACAGTTCAATACTAGATCCTTCACAGTATAAAGTTCAATACCAGATTCTTTATAGTTTAATACTAGATTCTATAAAGCTCAATGCCAGATTCTATAAAGTTCAATACCAGATTCTATAGTGTGCAATGCCAGATTCTATAAAGTTCAATGTCAGATTCTATAAAGTTCAATTCCAAATTCTTTATAGTTCAATATTTGATCCCTTCACAATTCAATACCAGATTCTTTACAGTTCAATACCAGATCCTTCATAGTTCAATACCAGATTCTTCACAGTTCAATACCAGATTCATTATAGTTTAATACCAGATCCTTCACAGGTTAATACCAGATCCTTCACAGTTCAAACCAGATTCCTTACAGTTCAACACCAGACCCTTCACAATTCAATTCCAGATCCTTCACTGTTCAATACCAGATTCTTTACAGTTAAATACCAGATTCTTCAGAGTTCAATGCCAGATCATTTACAGTTCAATACCGGATTCTTTACAGTTCAGTACTAGATTCTTTACCGTTAAATTCCTGATCCTTCACAGTTCAGTACCAGATTCTTTTTCTTTTAACAAAAAAATTGTAATTCAGTTTTTTACAGTCGACACCAAACTTATACAAATTAAACCCAAATACAACTATTGTCACTATTGTTTCAAGTCTGGATTACAGAAACTGATTTTTGCCACTAACTCTAATCGCTATATTTTTGCAACCTGATGGTGTAGACCTTTAATATTTTAAACTTTGATCTAACAGAATTTAGAGTTTGACATATCTAACATACTCAACATTGTGTTGTGAAGATGTAGGAATTAGAAAATCAGAGTTTGTGGCAAAGAGTCAATTCCTTTACTTCGTCTAAGATTTGTTTACCTTGCTCAGGATAGATTCAATTGAGAACTGGTTTTCACCCTGTCTGCTAGAATCAACTTCTCTAAAAACAAAACTTCCTTCAATTACAACTTCACAAAAATGATAATGATACAGTGATATCCAGAAAAATCTGGAATAGGAAGACGACTTACAGACTTTGAAACTGAGTTTTTGTCACAAACTCAAATTTTCTAATCCCTATATCTTTACAACGTGATAGTGTAAATCTTGAATATTTTAAACTTAGATTATTAGATTCAACAGAATTGATAGTTTGAAATATCTAAGGTTTACGACATTATGGTTGCACAGATAAAGGGATTAGAAAATCAGACTTTGTGGCAAAAACTCAATTCCATTATGGCCTTGAATAGTCCAATGAAGATGAGACACAGCAAATATTAAGGTACTATAGTATAACTATTTGCTATGGATGTTGTACAAGCTGTACAATTCACAGAAGAAATTGAACCAAATATTTCGGCCCCCTTCCTGTATTAGTATAACCCTGGAGAAGGATGAATACACAGGAAACTTGATTGCAAACATAAACATGTACTGTACACCGTACTGCAGTTTTCCCTAAGCCAGATTTAGGCCTCAGTTGACGAAAGTCTGCTTTGTAAATCAGAATTAATATTCAGGTATATAATATACTAATTAAAGCCCATTTCACATAAATCGATATTACACCATCAAATACACATAAGCTTTGGTATAATTTCGTTATTTTTATCCTAAAGTTTTCTGGTTATCACAGTATATTTTCAATCGCCGATTTAATTGAGTGGTTTAACAATTTACTAAAGTTCACTATCTATAAATATCAGGTGTAAATTAAACTTAAGATCGGATTTTTTCAAAATATTGCTTCAATTTGTGCTATATCGTAAGAAATTACAATTATAAAGTAAAACACATTTTTAAAAATTGTTTCTAAAAACTCTCCAAAACGTTTAACAACACAATACAGTGTGCACATCTTGTTTGATGCTTACGTAATCTTCAAAGTACTTTTTCTTTAAACAGTTGGTGGATTTTTACTTTTAAGATATTAAAATGAAATAAGTTTAATTTTACATAAATTTAAGATACGTAATTATAATCAAAGTAATTAAGACTTTAAAATAATTTTTAAGGAAATAACTCCTTTTTTGGAAGAGCTATTGAGATAAACAAAATATTTGAATCACTATATAATATACAACCAGAGCTGAAAACTTTAGAATGGTGGATATCGGGATTAATGCTTAATCCACTCTTTTTCTTAATCTCCAGATTAAATATTTCTTGTTCTCCACTCATTTTTAATCTTCAGATTAATTAAGAGAGCAAGATTAAGGATATCACATTCTAAAGTTTTCAGCTCAGATAAATTTAATTGTCTCTACCGACATTGTTGCATAAATTTGACTGTCTCCTGCTGTCCAGTTCAAAACAAGACCCATGCTTTAAAAAATGAAACAAATTCTTTAAAATATTTAAAGTAGGGGAAATATTACCTTTGACACGCCCTTCCCTCCTCCTCTTCCTCCTCCTCCTCCTCCTGTCTGTCCAGCCACGCCTCTCTTCCCTCCCCCGCCCTCGCCCAAGCAAGGGATAAACCCCTTTCCTCAGAAAACCCTCTGCCAAGCATCATTATCAAATTAAGCCTTTGAATCTGGCCTAGCTAGACCTAAATATGCCCTAAATTAGGCCCCTTAATCCTCCACGTCACTAATACAGACAACTAATGATCCCAATATTGGATGAGCGCTGAAACCCTCCCGTGCCAGGGAAATCCTGTCTTCTCATTGGTTGGTTTCAAGAATTTCTCGCGCTCTCATTGGTTGAAAATACCGCAGTCTGAAGTGTACGGTCTCTTATTGGTGGAGCTATTCAGGCTAAGGGAAAATACATAATACCTCAATTTTACCAGATCTATGATCTAAACAGATATTGTTTTGTTTGATTAATTTTTATTTGATTTATATAATTTTGTTTGATGCAAATTTTTGCAGGATATATATTACAACTTGTTCATCTCATTACATATTCTATTAAAAATTGCCATTTTCTATATTTGGAAAATTATGTCTTACCAATAAAAGAAGAAAAATTATGCAGTTCTTGTGATCTAAAAAATGCAAAACTTTAAACTTAAGCTTCGAAACATTCATTTCCAGGTCTTAAAAAACGTATAATGTGGGTTGTAATAAATACTGTATCGATCAAATCGATCCCATGCATTTGAACATACCTAGATTAATTAAATTGTACACTGTCTGTAAATCTAAATGCGCTTATCATTAACTCCGCAAAACTTTTAATTCATTTAACCTAGCCTAGCTACGTTTGTAAATAACTACGTCAAACCTGTATTGTGTTTAGCTTCAGTACGCCTCGGCCTATTGTTGGAATTAATTAGACTCTGCTTTGATTACAGTGTGAGAGTAATTACTTCTTGGTTAGTAAACAAGAAGCGTCCTGAATCACTCTCTTGAAAGATAGATATAGATTGAGAATCGATACAGATACAGTACCACTTTAGTGTGCCAAGTCCATTAGCGCCTGATCCAATCAGGACTCAGTCATGTGTTTGTTATCTATTCTGAACCAATAGAAATTGCATGGCTGTAACATATATCTTTCTATCTAGCTCATTATCCAATTAGAGATATGAATCCTTATGTCGGCGCTATAACAATAAATGGAAATATTTACTTCTACTGAGACTATAGTGCAGTTGTGTCCGGATTGGCATTGAAAGTCAAGTATTACCAAACTGAATAGCTCTTATACCTCGTCAGCCATAACGAGAGGGAACGAGTATGAATACAAATAAAGTAGTGTCCGGATTGACATTGATAGTAAAGTATTACTGAACTAAATAGCTTTTATGCCTCGTCAACCATAAGGAGAGGGAGCGAGTATTTGGTACCCATAAAGTCCTGTCCGGATTGACATTGATAGTGGTATTCGTGGAACTGTGAGTTCCTGATTGAGTTGTACCTGGATTGATACGGGTCTGAAAGACTCTTATGGAATATTAGGGTATTTACTGCAGGGTGAGGTAAAACCTAAAGGAAATTTGGATAGCAAAACTTGAAAGCCAGTCTGAAAAATAATGGAGTCAAAATTTCCATAGCTGTAATTGGTCTTATATATTGATTTTGATAGAGGGGGTATTTATTCTAGTCCCCCCCCCCCCTCCCTTTTCTAGAAGAGCTAGGGTCGGAGAGAGGGGGCAAAATTGATAATAATTTAGAATTCATAGGAAAGACAACTTTTGGTATTTTTCAGTTTTCAGATAAAGAAATAAGTTTGTTAGTATGGGGCACTGGCCACTGTTTCCCCATTCTTCGTGAATGCAATTGTTTGTTAATCGTAGTTAACTGGTATTTAAGCAGTGGTAGTTGGCCTATCACGCATAAGTCACACCAAACTACAGCAAATTGCACTAAGATTTAAACCTTTCATGTTTTAAATCATAGCTCTTCTTGTTAAAGTGTTATTGAGAAGATATTTTGAAATTCCTTTATGTAACCAGAAAATTTAGTTCTGCTCCTACTTGTGCGGAAAATCAAAGCTAGAGGAGCTACAAGGTCACAAAATCAGACCAGGGATATCTCTCAAAGTTTACCTTCTCCTTCTAGACGTCTAGTTTGCAGTGTATTTGAGGATAGTTTGAAACAAATAATTTTGTTTAGAAATTTTGTTTTTAATCTTTGTGAAGAAACAATCTCAAGAACTGACTAGGGGCAACCCAGACCGAAATATATTTTCAATAAATATGGAACTAACATCTACTTTTTTACTCTACAGAGGTTTGGTCCATCACCATCACCGAATTTTAAATTTAGAAATAGGATTTAATTCTTTTCTACCAAGAATTTCCCATTTTTCTTTTAAAGATACTTAAACGATATATATTATAGATAATTTTTTTTTCTTATTGAACGGTAAAAATAAAGTAAAATTTTTATGATTTGAGTGGACTACATAAAACATGTTGGTAATCTTTCATAAAATGTTTTAGATATTAATTGTCTTGTACTAAATGGCTTACTCCAATAATACATTAGTCTGTATCAATCCAGATACAACTTTCTCTGTATTCATAAGTCTGTATCAATCCAGATACAACTCGCTCTTGAACTCTATACTCTCTACACGAGAACTAATACTTTAGTCTGTATCCATCCGGATACAACTCTCTCTGTATTCTTAAGTATGTATCAATCCAGATATGCTTTATTATTTTAATCTTTCTGACAGAAACAATCTCAAGAACTGACGTGGGTCAACCCAGACTGAAATATATTTTCAATAAATGTGGAACTAACATCTACTTTTTTTTTACTCTACAGAGGTTTTGTCCATCACCATCACTGAATTTTAATACTTTAGTCTGAAATCAATCCATATACTCTCTCTGTATTCTTAAGTCTGTATCAATCCAGATACAACTCACTCACAAACTCTTTACTCTCTAGACAAGAACTAATAATTTAGTCTTTATCAATCCAGATACAACTATCTCTGTATTCTTAAGTATGTATCAATCTAGTTACAACCATCTCTGTATTCTTAAGTATGTATCAATCAAGACACAACTCGCTCACAAACTCTATACTCTCTACACGAGAACTAATATGTCTGACCGTAATGAAATTCAAATTCAACTACATATATTTTGGGCTTAATGATACAGGTCAAAGTGTAATTGACCTATAGGTCTATTCAGAGATTAACGAACAGAGATATAAATTTATAACATGTTAATTAGGGTTATATACAGGTAGGTTCAGGTTTCCACGATATGGGGGTTATTACTATATCTATCACAGTCTTATATACTTTCAAATACCATCCAAATGTTCCGAACATTCTGGATCGTTGTTTAAATGTAAAAGGAATTGAGTCTTTGCAACAAACTCTGACTTCTTTACAAAACAATGTCGACCTTAGATAATTTACTTCGAGAATTAAACCACCAGGTGCCAAAGATATAGGGATTAAAAATTTGAGTTTGTGGCAAAGACGCAATTTCTTTACAAAAGACATTTATTGTTTTATAGTTAGAAGCTATGGGCGATAGAATAGTTTATAAACATCTTAGTAGCTCAGTAGCACAGCAATGTCAAAAAATTAGAATCTATCTTAAATAAAAATTCACTCTGAATTAAAGGGACTAGCGACGTAAATGTAAGTGATGACTTACGTGTCTGATTCACGACGCATCCTTTAAACATTAGTCGGAGAAAATATGTCTGGGACAGTAATTGTTTTGCTAAAAAATTGATCCATTTCAATTTAGGCTTCCCTTTTTTAATTTCGATTTCAATGCACATTATCGCTTACTTTTCCATACGTGCGCTTTCCCTTGACGGTTTCCTTGAAAGGTCTGCACGCGCGCCACGCTAAACGAGTCACGGGGCGCCGGAAATTAATTTAAATCAAATCAGACATGTTTACAGCGTATCAAGAATACATTAGGAAAAATATTATACAAGATTAAATTCAATTAGACTGCCTGGGAACTATCACGCAAAACAAATTTCAGTTTTTGTGTGTAAATATCGTAATATTTATTTATATCATACAAACCAAAAATGGATAGACACAAAATTTGTTCTGAAAACTTGGGGCTTAGGTTTTCCATTATCTTGCATCTAAGACTTGTCTCTTAGATTATCCTGTAAAGTGAGTGTCAAAAAACCTGAGCCGTTTATATTTCACCATAATATCCTGGATTTGAAATTTGATTTTATCCTGAACAGTAACTGTAACATTAATACCTAGAGTTTCACGAGAAAAAGTAACGAAAATATTTAATACTGTTTTCTATGAGGATGTTGTTCATTTCCTAAATCAATAACTTAACGAAAATTAATTATCAATAATTTCAAATCCCCCCTCTAATAAAATTTACATTTCTATGGGAGGAGGCACAGCCCCCGTATCTTCCCCCCTTTGCACTCCTCCAATTGTGTAATTTCACGTACACTCGTATGTTTAGATGTCTATCTCGAGTATTCTTATCTTCAAGCCGAAGTCCAATGTTATATATTTCTGTAAAAATGTAAGATTATGTCACGGGTTAAAGGCCCGAATGGACTTATAATATTCAAATATGCAGTACGCTCTCTGTATAGTTGATAGCCTGTACAATTAATAAAGGATTACCGTACATCATCAATCTATACACAATTTAACCTCGTTGGTGAAATCAGACAAACTATAGAAAGAACTAGAAAAATGCCCGGAATGAAATATTATTATTTGGAAGCACTGTCAACTTAACTTAATGAGAAGGTCAGATTTATAAGATATTTCTGATGCCGCTTTGTGACCTCGTAGCTCCTCTTGTTTTAATTTTACGCATAACTATGAGAACAGCAAATTTATTCAGTTACATATTAGAAATTCAAAAACTGTTTGTCCTTGTCCGACAAATCATATTTTGTTCTCAAGGAATTGAGTCTTTGCCACAAAATCAAATTTTCTTATTGCAATATCTTTCCAACCAAATGTTGTAGACCTTTTATATTTCAAACTATGAATGTTGTTAGATCAAATAATATAAGTTTGAAATATCAAAGGTTTACACCATCCGGTTGCAGAGATATAGGGACAAGAAAATTGTGGTTTTTGACAAAAACTCAATTCCTTTAACTATCCTCTCTTTAATGTAAAGAGAGTTTATACAAATAGAAAATTATATTTTCAACTTTTATTGACTTAAAAGTTGACCATTAAACATAGTACACTTAGCACGTACTCCTCTATAAACTTATCTAATTATAAAACTAATCTCATTAAGCAACAATTCATATTAAAATAAGATTATAACTACAACCTTATACAACTAAATTCTAGAATTCTCACTTTAATTCAATTTCTACAATTCTCCCTATTATCTAATTTCTATAATTCTCCCTATTATCTCATTTCTACAATTCTCACTTTATTTTAATTTCTGCAATTCTCCTTTAAACTACATTCTACGATTCTAACTTTAATTCAATTTCTACAATTCACCCTATTATCTAATTTCTACAATTCTCCTTTAAACTAAATTCTACAACTCACCTTTAATCTAAATTCAATTTCTACATTCTCCCTTTAATCTAAATTATGCAATTCTCCCTTTAATCTGAATTCTACAATTCTCCTTTAATCTAAATTCTACAATTCTCCTTTAATCTAAATTCTACAATTCTCCCTTTAATCTAAATTATGCAATTCTCCCTTTAATCTAAATTATGCAATTCTCCCTTTAATCTAAATTCTACAATTCTCCCTTTAATCTAAATTCTACAATTCTCCCTTTAATCTAAATTCTACAATTCTCCTTTAATCTAAATTCTACAATTCTCCTTTAATCTAAATTCTACAATTCTCCTTTAATCTAAATTCTACAATTTTCCCCTTAATCTAAATTCTACAATTCTCCTTTAATCTAAAGTTTACAATTCTCCCTTTAATCTAAATTCTACAATTCTCCTTTAATCAAAATTCTACAATTCTCCTTTAATCTAAATTATACAATTATCACTTTAATTTTATTTCTACGATTCTCCCGTTAATTTAAATTCTACAATTCTCTCTAATCTAAATTGTACATCATTTCCCTTAATCTAAATTGGAGAGTTCTACGCAAGTTTTTTTTTAAATTGTATGTTATCTTTTCTTGACTTAGGCAATAAATATCGTGCCCTCCTTTCTCTGTAAGCTCTTGCATATATATAATAAAGTATATTTAGCAGACAATTTAAAAAGTAATAAATATGTTTACAACCAAACTTCAAGCTGTGCAAGGATTTTTGCTTTCAGGTGGTTATACAAAAATCGACTTAAATCAACATATAAAGGAATTTAATCTTTGCAACCTGATTGTGTAAACCATTTTAAACTGAAGTTATTTCATCTAACAGAATTAATAATTTGAAATATCTAAGGCCTATAACGATATTGGGTTGCAAAGATAAAAGGATTAAAAATCGGAGTTTGTTGCAAAAACTCAATTCCTTTGGCATGTTTGTCTGTTTATATCCAAATAAACGCCAAAAGCGCTGAACCGATCGAGTCCAAATTTTGAGTGACAAAATGACCTAAATGAATCTACAAAAAACGGCTTTATAACTAAATAATATTATAGAAATAGTAATTTTCATTGTATAGATCGAAACATACAACATTATAAACTTTGTGTGCTAGATTGTCACCTTCCGCCCCCCCCCCCAGCCCCCTCTTTAAGTTTCTTTCTTTTTCATTTCCTTTCTTTTCTTCAATACGTTTTCCTTTATCTAACTTTTTTCCCTTCTATCTACTCAGTTGCTATTCTTTATTTCTAAATTGTTTTAGCTTTATTTGTGTTTATTTTAATTTAACATGTATTTATCGCTGCAAAAGGGCCTCTCATTCAAAACAACCAGCAATGGTAAGAGAGGTCCTGTCTAAAATATATGTAAAGATTGTGTACCTGGAATTGTTATTCATTAAAATATTTAGTCAAATATATATAAATCTATCTATCTAAGCTGGTCCACAAATCTTCGTGAAAAGACGACAATAAATTCAAAATTCAGAAAGTATTAAAGGGAGGGTTCGCGAAAAATGAACGGGGGTACAAGCTTACGGCGAAAAATAATCGCTTTAGATCGCTTATAATCCTACTTCTATCTGTGGCATCTTTTAGGAGAAAATTGTTAAAAACTTCTTGTACCGAATAAAGTAAAGTCCATACAAATTCAGAAATTTGCAACATAGGACTCGGATCGTAAACAAATCAATTTAATGTCAAACAAATCATTTAGATATTAAAACCTATAGTCATGCGATTATTTTTCAACGCATTCGTATATAATTTATATTTCATGATATTTTTTATTTGTTTTCTATACAATGCAATTAAAACAACGATTTTTTCCGCTAGGTGTCTCTGCCACTTGGAATCATTAAGAGCATCGAGAGCAGGGACACCTGGCGGACAAACTAATCGTCGTTTACGTACATAGTGTATAAATCAAATAAAAATATTAAGCTTAACCTTATTTTAAAAAATGCACTTTTTAAAGTTCAATCTGCACATGCTATAAGGGCAAAGTTAAATTAGGTTTAAAAAACTGAAATACCCCCAGCCCCGAAATATAAAGTACAATATATACAACGTTCTGCGGAATTTTTTATTAAGAGCATGAAAGTTAAAAAGTGCAAAAATTGCAAGAAATTTATTACGAAGAAATGCAACGTGATTTATGTTATTATGGTAAAGTACGCGGGCTAGATAGAGGTCCTATTTAACGTCTAAAAGTACAAAATTTAAAAAAAATTGATAATAAGTTAATAACACAGAAATATGTTCCCACTAGGCTTTCCAGTCGACATTTTACTTCGTACTCTGCAATAAAAAAATTCGCGGATTTATCTGTTTAAAGTTGGAAATAATATATAACTTTTAGACAAACATTTAAAGGGAACAAATGTTGATATTTTCCATTTATTATTATTTCCATTTTACCAAGAATAAGATGATGAAAAATTTAAAAATAAATTAGACACAGTCGTCGTCGTATATATCAATATAATTACGACACCATTTGATTTCAATTTTTTATCTCTGTCAAGCTTTTAAACAGCATGGATACATATAAAGAGAAACTGCCAAAAACGGTACCAGTACAAACGTCGGACCCACAAACGTCGGACGCTACAAAGGTCGGACAGTACAAACGTCGGACTTACAAACGTCGGACTGCAGGTACACACGTCGGACTAAGGCAAACGTCGGACCAGTACAAACACTGGACCAGTACAAACGTCGGACAGGTACATTTATAAGGAAAATGTCGGACTTTGGTTGAGTTGGAAAAAAATACCATTGCTATAAGAAATAAATTAAAAATCATTCACTTTTTGTGTCGAAAATCAAAGACAGCTAAATAAAGTCTCATCTTATATAGGGTATAAAACAACAGACCAAAAAGTAGTTGAGTTCAATTGTCACAAACTCTGATATTTTTGCAACCCGATGTCATATAACCTTTAATAGTTCAACCTGTGAAATCTATAAGATCAAACAGTTTAAGTTTTAAAGTATCAAGGTTAATACCATTACCAGGTTGAAAAGATATAGGGATGAGAATATTTGAGTTGTGGCAAGAACTCAATTCCTTCGGGTAGATTTTTATTATACCAGTCGATAAAAGGAAATAACTTTTTTTAAAAAAAATCTTAAAATTCACATAATTTTTTTTCCTTAGTCGGACATTTGTACTGGTCTGACGTTTGTACTGGTCCGACGTTTGTACTGTCCGACGTTTTTCCCAGTCCGACATTTGTGATAGTCCGACGTTTGTCATAGCTGGTCCGACGTTTGTACTGTTCGACGTTTGTAAGTGTTAGGTTTGTACCGTCCGACGTTTGTGGGTCTGACAGATTGTTATAAACAGCTTCTCTTTGTAAACTTGTAATTTGAAAAAATATCACGGTATCAGAATCCTTTTTTTTTAAAGATGATAAATAATTTTACCACTTTGTTTATTTCATATATTTGTTGAGTAAATAGTACTACTAAATTGTCACATTTCATATTTTAAATTCAAAAAATTTTCACTTAGCAGAATCAAAATAATAATGAAAAATTTGAACTTGAAGCAAGTTTAAAATTACTGTAAACCAACCGTTTCATGATATCACAGAATTGTAAGGCTAGGGTTTTAAAAATGCATTTAAGAATTTAAAAAAAACTTTTAAATTAGGAATTTAAGAAATAAAAAAACCTCGCAATTTTCTGATAGTTTATTTTAAACAAAATCTTAGAAGTAATGTAGTTATGTGCATGAAAGACATAGTTGTACTTGAAATATATATATATATATAATAATGCAAATATATATATGATATATATATAATATTGCAAATAACTATAAAAAAAAACTAAAGACTATAATTTATTCGTGTTTTATATAATTATATTTTCTTTAACCAGAATTTATTTTCTACCCGAATTCTGAAAAAAAAACTGTAATTAATTAAGAAAAAACTAAAGGAGAATGTCCACATTTCAAAAAAAGGGGGGGATCTTTTCTCTAAGCTTTTTTTGTTGCATATACTCATTTCTGGCCTTTACATTGCATTTTACACTTTTATTTCACCATATTCACTCTTTTCTCAAATATTCCCCATTCAAAAGACCAGTTTGGGGCTTTCTAACTTTAATACTAGATATTTCTATTTTTCTTTGCATGTGGAGGCCTGAATTGTGCATGTGCAGGCCTGAATTGTGATCCAAATATTGAATCAAAAAACCCAAAATGTGAGAAAAACAATTTACCCTATATTTTCAGGACATTTTATTCAAAAACTTTTCCACGTGAAGCATTTCAAGTCATCAACTCATTTCTGGCCTTTACATTGCATTTCCGCTTTTTTATATTATTTTTTATATTATTTTACGCCTTCTCCCATGCATGCTCCTCCCTCCAAGTAACCAATGCATGGATCCTTCCGACTTTGTTACTAAAAATTTTCTCTGATTTTTTTTGCGTGCAATCTTAAACTGTGACCTAGATATTGAATCAAAAGCCAAAATGGGGAAATTCACCCTCCCCCCCTTTTTGGGGAATTGAACATATTCCTTTAAAGATTAAGTAAAAGTTACAGCATCTGTAATTAAATAAATATTTTATATTCGACTTGACGCACAAATTTGCTAAAATATTGTTAACATCTGTACTTAAGCAACTTCTATTTTGTAAAATAGTTAAAGTCCAAGAAATGATTAAAAAATAAAATGAATAATTTAAGAATTAAAATAAAAATAATATTTACCCGCTTGTTTTTGCTTTTTATTCCAGATTTAGCTGTTTCTGTAAAAAATAATTTCGATTTAATTTTTAGGGAGCTAAATATATAGCTGACACTCTACTAGAGCACTCTCCACTTAAACCTTCTATTTTTTCGGTCAGTGTACTACAGATCATAGCAGTGCGCACCGAAGGCTTAGTTTAGGGTCTAGTGAAGACTGAGACTCTGCAGATTAGAACTTTTTTTGATCCGCTCGTTAATTTTATGCGAATCTTATCTATCTATGCGGAGAAAACGACATTTTTAGGCGCGCAACTAGACATTTGATAGGAGGGGGG